CGGCGGTCGGATCGCAAGGAATGAGGTTGATGGCACGAGTGAGCATGCGACGATGTTCATCTAAAGTTGTTTTGATGGGAAGTTGCTCTTTCACCACGTCACGCAAAAGTTTGCGGGCTTAAAAAAGCTGACTCGCCAAGTCCATCAGGGTCGGTTCCTGAAAATCATTATGCTAACCATCCAGGTTTGATTTCGGGGAAAAAGGAGGGGAGTAAACAATTTCTTCATCGGGTGTGGGATTGATGTTGTGATGAGATAGCAGCAGGGTAATGAGAGCAGGGTAGGGCAGTTTGCGGATGTCTTTCTTAAGGTTGCCGCAAGCAAACTTGACTATCTTTGAAACCACCAGAAAACCAAGATTCAAATGGTTAACAAATTTATCAATGGCAAGAATGAGATTATCCATCTCTGTGCCAATGGAGGAACCATTTGAAGTGGGAAATACGTTGTAACCACAAAGACGGAAGAGGCACTGAAACTTCATGGTAAGTTCCTTGGCTTACAGACCTTGTCTCCCAAAGTCATTGGCTTTGCGCCCAGACACCATGAGGGCGACATCTCGATTTGATTCTGTCACAAGTTCAGAGGACAATTGTTCAGGGTTGCCTGTAGGCAGCTGTAACAGCCTGTTGATCAGATCTGGGCTCAGCTCGATAAATTGCCCACGGATGTATGTCTTGTGAAACCACTGTGAACCTTCCACCAAAACAGTTGTAGGCAAGTTAGCATAAAATTCGCGAACAAGTTTGGGACAATACCTTGTCAAGCTAACAGCCCATGAAAAAGTCCCTTTTTTCTGTAAGTACTCTGTGAATCCAACGTCGATGTGTTGGGGACTATTGAAAGTCACTTCACCGATAAAGCTGCGCAAATCCAGATCATCGTATTCATACCGTTCTGCCTCGTCATCAAAGTGGATTTCGTCCATAGCACGTTTTGGAGAAGGTATCCGAGGAACATCACTATGTTTGCGAGACTTCTTTCGCTTAAGTTTTTCTCTCAGATTTTGCAGAGTCTTCTTTTGCTTCTTCTTCGGAGGTCGTGATGACTCCGGGATATCAGCTTCAGCCTGTCGTTTGGTCAGGGGGACTTGATTTGCAACAACAGGAGATTCAGAAGGAGGAACTGCTTCTCCTCTGAGGACAACAGTCTCCACCATCTCAGTTTCCTCAGAATGCGAAACTTCTTCTCGTTCGGTCTGTTGAGGGATGAGTGCAGCAGCAGCAGTCTCAGCATCCATAGCACCATCACTACCAACAACAGTTTGTTCAGCAGGGTCTGGGGCAACATCATCGTCATTCCCAGTTGCAGCCACCCCTTCGGTTTGTTGTTCTGTTCCAAGAACATCTGAAGTACCATATGTAACTTCCAGAGAAGGTTGTTTTTCCGCAGTAGCAGCAACATCAGCCTGTGCTGCCAACTGTTCTTCATTTACGGGAGCCACCATTGTTATTGGATCCACAAGAGTAACTGGACCAGACAAATCACCAGAATCTGAAGTAGGATTGATATAACCACATTGCCCTGACCGTGCACTTCCCTTTCCACGTCCACACCTTCCAACTCCGCGAGATTCTCCACCGAAGCGTGTTTGAGCCATCCACAACAATTTTGTTCAAACACAAGGGACTTCTAAATATGTAAATGGTGAAAGATAAACCATCATTCCTACACCAGATATATATGGATGATAGAGAGTAGAGGGGAAGTTACAACTTCCAATTCAAAATTTGAATTTTTTTTTTTATTGTTATTTTACCAATTCCCAAAGAACCATCATAATGAATTGCTGCCGTAATTACTGCTTTCTGCAACTCTGCACTGACAACTCACCGTCAAATCAAGGCTTCTCACATCTAATCAACTTCCCACAATATTCCATTCTTTTTAATTTTTCAGAATATCTATTTTCCCTCTTATTTTTCATCTCCAATTTTTTCATAATTTACCAATAAGCAGCAATATATTGGAGACATAATGCATCGTATATGCAAGATTATGAGCGTATGAACATATACCCAGATCACGGAGAAGTGTCTCAAACCGATCACCATCGAGCGCCTTTGTGAGAATATCAACCTTTTGATCCTTAGTCCCAACGTACTTCAGTCTGCACACATTCGACTCCACCAATTCACGAATAAAATGGTATCGGATATCAATGTGTTTGGTCCTTCCATGTTGTACGGGATTTTTGGATATGTTGATAGCATTGGAATTATCACACAATAATGTGAATGAATCACAATAAATTCCATAATCTGCAAGCATTTGACGAATCCAAAGAAGTTGTGCACAACAGCTTCCCGCAGCAATATATTCTGCCTCAACTGTAGATAGGGCAATTGAATTCTGGTTTTTGGAACTCCAGCTAACGAGGTTATCACCGAGATAAAAACAACCACCCGTTGTGCTTTTACGATCATCACAACATCCTGCCCAGTCAGAGTCAGTGAAACCAATGTGGTTGAGACAGGACCTGTTAGAGTACCATACTCAGCTGTTCCATGAACATAGCGAATTATCCTTTTTGCGGCTTTCAAATGTGCTTCCTTTGGAGCAGCTTGAAACCTTGCACATACTCCAACACTAAACGAGATATCAGGCCTGCTGGCATTCAAGTAAAGCAAACTACCTATGATACTCCTGTACAACTTCTGATCCACATCTTTTCCCGATTCATCCTTCGACAACTTCTCTTGTTGTCCTAAGGGTGTTCTGATAGCCATAGAACTACTCACCCCAAAATTATTGACCATATTTCGAGCATACTTGGTCTGATTTAGAAAGATACCATCAACACACTATTTAACATGCAGACCTAAGAAATAAGTAAGTTCACCAATCATACTCATTTCGAACTCGGAGTCCATGAACTTCACAAACTCTTTTCTCATCTACTCGGAGGTGGAACCAAATACAATGTCATTGACATAGATTTGAGCAATCATCAACTAATTTCCTTTGTGCTTGATAAACAATGTCTTGTCATTGGATCCGCGAACATAATTCTTTTCAAGGAAGAAGTTCGATAACCTTTCATACCAAGCCCTCGGTGCTTGTTTTAAACCATACAAAGCCTTGTTCAATCGAAACACATGATCCAGATGAAAAGGATCTTGAAATCCCTTAGGTTGTTCAACATAGATCTCCTCTTTAATCCATCCATTGAGAAAAGCTGTTTTCACATCCATCGGAAAAAGAGTGAATCCGAGTGAACACAAAATAGATATCAGCAATCTTATAGCTTCGATACGGGCAACCGGGGCAAAGGTCTCGTCGTAGTCGATTCCTTCAATCTGAGTGTATCCTTGGGCAACTAATCTGGCCTTGTTTCGAGTAATATTGCCACACTCATCAGACTTGTTCTTGAAGATCCATTTTGTACCAATCACGTTACAGTCACCAGGTCTATGCACCAGTGTCCATACTCCATTTCTCTCAAACTGGTTTAATTCATCTTGCATTCCACTCAACCAGTATTCATCCTTCAATGCCTCATCAACACTTCTGGGTTCAAAAGTGGACACAAAACAGTTCATTCCAGATAAGTTTTTGAAATCAATCTGTTTACCTCGAGTGACTCTGCCACCTTTTGGATCGCCAATGACAGCATCAATTGGGTGATTCTGTGGTACTCTGGAACCATATATTCTAACTTCTGCATCATATTCAGTTTCAGCAGGTTGTTGATTGGTTGTTGTTATCTCAGTGGAACACTCAGGTTTTGACCAATCTGTTCTAATAAAACTTTCAGTAGCATCATCACCAGCTGTCTGTGGTTGATCATTCTGATTTTGAGGAGGATTTTGAATCTCATGAGGACTTCTAATCACTGGATTTGGAGCATCATCATCATCATCTTGTTGAATAGATTTCTTCTCTGAAAGAGCATCATCAAACACTACATTCACATATTCCATCACCTTCTTGGTTCGATTGTTGTAGACTCTATAGGCTCTTGAGTTCAATGAGTATCCCAGAAATATACCATCATCTGAACGAGCATCAAACATATGTAGTTGATCCCGATCCTTCATAATGTAGCATCTACACCCAAACGTATGAAAATATGAGACATTCGGCTTCTTTCCATTCCAGATTTCATAAGGTGTTTTCTCTGTGTGTGGTATGAGATACACACGATTGATCACATAGCAAGTTGTATTAATAGCTTCAGCCCACAAGAACTTTGCAACTCCTTTCGCATGCATGATAGATCTAGCCATTTCCTGTAAAGTTCGATTTTTCCTTTCCACTACCCCGTTCTACTGTGGAGTTTTTAGAGCAGAATATTCATGTTTGATTCCCAACTTGTCACAGAATCCACTGAATTTTTTATTCTCGAATTCTTTCCCATGATCAGTCCGAAGTCTATTAATCTTCACTTACTTCTCATTCATAAGCCTTGTACTCAACTTCTCAAAAGCATCAAAGGCTTCACCTTTTTCACGCAAGAAATCAACCCAAGTATATCTAGAAAAATCAACACAAACCAGAATATACTTCTTACCACCAAGGGTATAAACATCAACGGGACCCATTAAATCCATATGCAGCAGTTCCAGGCAGTTGTTGCTAGTTTGCTGTTCCAACACTGGATGAGCAACCCTTTTCTGTTTTCCTCTTGCACAATCACCACAAGTAGCACTAGGCAACTTTGTAAATCTGGGCAGACCTCTGATTGCACCAAGTTTACTGATTCTCATCAAGTTTTGGGGATTGACATGCCCTAACCTGGTATGCCATAACATTGTTTCATCATCTTTCAAGATCAAAGCTTGCATCTTTGGTTTCTCCAATAAGTAGCAATTATTCTTTGATCGAATACCAGTCATCACACACCTCTTATCAACATCCAATACCTCACATGATTCCCTTGTGAACTTCACATTCAAATTATCATCACATAGTTGACTGATACTTATTAGATTTGTGCTTCAGACCTTAAACAAAATACACCTTTGAAAGTCTTGGAATTCCTTCTTTCTCAAGAATACCTAGCCACTAATCTTTCCTTTTGCACCATCTCCAAAGATAATATCACCACTTCTATCCTCAACAAAGTTTTTCAACAGATTCTTTTGGTTTGTCATGTGACGGGAGCATCCACTATCAAAATACCAACGATCAGATCTAGTTGATTCTTGGCTTGACAAGATAACATTGCACTCCAATTGCTTTTGATTTTCCTTCGGCATCCACACCAATCTGACTTTGATATTATGTCTGAGTCCTTCAGTAGGCCACTCAATATTTCTGCCATTCATCACATCCTTCGCCAATCTGAGACATTTTTCAGCTGTATGACCTGGAAATCTGCAATATTTGCAGTCATCTGGACGTAATGACAATGGTTTAACATCATGAGTTCTGCGACCTGTGTTCCAATTCCTGCTTCTGTTCTTTCTGGACTTCTGTTTCTTCACTAGAGCATATTTCTTTTCTGGAACTTTAACATCAGTAAGAAGACCACCACGAACAAATGTAGTTGGTTTACTTTGAGAGGTTTTGCAAAAACCAATTCCTTTATGATCTCCAAAAGGTTTTCCAATCGAAATAAGTTCATCCAATTTTTCTTTTCCTTTTTGAAGTCTGTCATTTTCTTCCTTCAACTTCTGATTTTCAACCTTTAAACCATATAATTCAGTAGAGTTAGCCTTAATATCTTTCTTCAGTTGTTCAATCTCATCATCAAGTTTGTCTTTTTGGTCTTCCAATCGATAAATGGTATTCAATAATTCTTTGTTTTTCACCAAGGATTTCTTTTGTTTAGCAACCATCCCCTCATATGCTTCAATCAACTCATCAGCATCCAATTCTTTTGACTCCTCAGAATTTTCAGCGTTTGATTTATCATCATCAACCTTACTAGATTCATCAACACCAGCCATGAACGCCACAAGTTCATCATTCTCTGAATTTTCTTCACCTGCAGCAGAGCCTTCCTCATCATTATCACTCCAAGTAGCTTGGTAGGCTTTTTTTTCTTTCTTCTTTACAGCTGGACATTCAGATTTAATGTGTCCTACACCAACACATCCATAACAAGTTGGTTCTTGAACTGTATCAGGCTTAGTAGACACTGTGAATTTTTTCTTGAAGCCACCTTCGAATTTTCCTTTTGGCTTGTTGTAACTTGTTGGTTTCTGATCTGAGTACTTTTGCTGCGAGCTAGATGCATTTCCATCACGATAACCACTTTTATTTGGAAATTTTCCATACTTCAGCTTAGCTGCTCTTTTATCACTAATCATTCGAGAAAGTTTACGACTTATGAGTGCTATTTCTTCATCAGACTCTATCAGCTCCATGTCTTCAGCACTTAATGCCACACTTTTAGGAGTTTCATCTTCAAGATAATTCATTTCATAACTCACCAGTGTACCATACAATTCATCCAATGTCATGTTTTTCAGCTTTTGTGGTTCATCGAGCATAATCACCTTAGGTCTGAAATTTTTTGTGAGACTTTTAAGCATCTTTCTCACTAGTCTCTTCTCTTCAAAGTGCATTCCAAGAGCTTCTGCTTGATTGACAACATCCATAAAGTGATTATAGTAAACAACGATTGTTTCGTCTTCATTTATCTTCAGTCCTTCGAAAAATGTTTCCACATGATCAAGTTTTGATTCTCGGACTTGTACTGATCCTTCGAATGCATTTTCAAGAATGTCCCATGCTTCCTTATCAATCTTGCAGTTTGATATCAACTTCCCTTGAGTTTCATCAACAACGTTGAAGATCGAAAAAAAGGCTTTCGAGTTGGCGATTGCAGCAGCCTTTTCATTTAGAGTCCATTCTCTTTTTGGTTTATTCACAAGAGAGATAATATTATCTTCATCTTGGATGGTCTTCTTGGGATGAGACCATGCAGACTCAACAGCATTAGAAACATCTTCACCTTGTAACATCAGAAAAGCTTCCATTTTGTTCTTCCAACTTTGATAGTTTGTTCCATCAAAAAATGGAGGTCTCGATGTTAAACGACCTTCCTTGCTCATCTTTACAACTGTGAAAGGACCTACTCAGCAACTTAGAGAACACTGCTCTGATACCAGATGTTGGGAAATGGTGGTTCGACAAGTCTGCTTCGAACACCTTAAATAGGGCCAACTTCCCTTGAAGCGTAGTTAACTCACAGTAATAACAGCTCACTGACAACTATATAAATACTTGAGCAGAAAAACAATGAATGAGCCGAGTATTTGTTAACCCAGTTCGGTTATATCAACCTACATCTGGGGGATCTCAATCCATGAGATACTCCACTATAATCAATACAGAAAATAGTACATAACAACCTTAAACTCACTTAACACATATCCTCCATAAAAGCTTACCTTGCATTCAATGCACAGGTACTGGTAGTCACAAACGCGTACTGACACCACTTTATACAACAAGCCTAGAGTAATGCATCCAACAAGCTGGTTTTCATCTCCTTTGGGTCTCCGAGAACTTCTCCCTCCGGCAACTTCTCCGGTGGGTTTTGTGTATCAAACACAGGTGAAAAACATGGAGATAAGGAGGGACTCAAATGAGAGCTTCTACAATAATTTCTTTCTCTAGGATAAGCTCTCAAAATGTGCTCTCACTCTAAACCGAGACTAGCCCATACTGTGTATGCAACAGCCTGATTCGAGTGTAAATTAAGCAACAATTAATTCCCTTAGCACACAAATGGAATATGGCGGTTCTCAAGATAGATCTGACATTCCTTTGACTATCCTCATTTTATCAAACTTGTCTTGTATGGATATATGCACATATGAGACAAAATAGACAAGACAATACACATAATCAGCTGTTGCAGGTGAGAGTCTGCCTGCAGTCTGTGTTTGTCTGCAGCAGCAGAAAGTAATTTGCTGTTTTTGGTATCTGGGGACAGCGGCTACAGAATGTCATTTGTCCATATGCCAAAAGTGGTAATAAGGAGATTTTTCATTTAACATAACTTAGCAAGACCAATGGCTTGAGCCAAGGTGTTCGGTTTGAAGGCCTTTACCTCATGCCGAATATTCTTCTTGAGGTCGAAGATGAAACAATTTAAGAAAAATGACGGGGAAACTCTTGTAACCCGATTTGCCAATTCATCGAATCTTTCTCTGTAAGCCGTCATAGTGGAGGTCTGTGTTAGTTTCACCAGCATCTCTTGGTCATCTTCAAACTCCGAAGGCCCAAAGGTCACTTTCAGTTGTTGGGTAAACTCCTCCCATGTACGAAATAAACCTGCTTTTTGGTGCCATTGGAACCATGGTAGGACTGCCCATTTCATATAGATCGAAGCTAACAACAACCGTTGTTGGGAATCTATTTGATAGTAATCAAAATAGCGCCCGGCTCTGTAGATCCAATCCAACGGATTACTTTCATCAAAATAGGGAAAGTCTACCTTCGCCGCTCAAAACAAATCCGTAGAGTTGCTATCGAATCCCCCAATCAGAATCATCGAGGTTGGGATAAAACTATTGTAGCCCAAAGGCATTGGCATCGTCGCTTGCATAGAAGATGGTAACAGACCCAAGGAGGAAAACCCAAGCGACAACGGTGGACCCATATGGGGAGACGGAATGAACGGTTGAGCAGGAAGTGTAAATGCCCCAAATTGGGGAAGACTGGGTAGTGATGAAGAGGCAACTTACGCTACAAAAAGAGATGCCGTTGTGGGTGAAACCGCCGAGGTTGTGCTTCGGGAAGCTGGGGAGGGCGATTGAATCGGCGGTATCGGGGGAAGCCATTGTAGAATCTCATCCAACGCAGTTTTCAAAGAGTTTATCTTAGCCTCCTGCTCATGTTTTCTCTTTACGATCTGAGTCCCAAATTCTTCTTCGATCTCTTCCACCCGACTTAGTCGCTCATCGATGGACTTGAGTCGAGTTCCCTCGGTCATGAGCACTCAATGAAAGCACCAATTTGTTACGAACATAACTAGCATAAAGGAAAATGAGAAAAAAAAAAGCCAAAAGTGTTCTCTGTATTTCTCAAAATCAATATTCCTCTTTTATTTACAGTAAAGATAACCCTCTCTTGTTAATCTCTCTCCTAACTGACGTAATACACACTATCTCTATTACTCATTCACATAGTCTTTCAGGTACGTTGGAATTTTTGACACGTGTCCGCTTCTAGACTCTTGTTGCACTGCCTTCATAACAAAGCGTCAACACACACACACTAAAAGTAAAAGAGAGGGCGAATTTTGCATTCCACTAACCTTAACGCGCTCGCTTTTGGGATAGTACTAAAGAAGAATCTTTCGCATGTAATTGACCTTGACATCGCGTGGCTGGGGGAGAAGATTTGGTGGAAGATATCTCTCCGAAGAGCTAAAGACCAAAGGGCTGAAGTTCAGCTCCAAATTCTCCTTCCGGAAAATATCTCTGAACTTCATAAATACAACAATCCCTTCCAAATTTTGGAGCACCAGCTGAGCATTAGAGAGTGAACAACCGCAGAGAGATGATTCAGATAAGGATTAACACAGAGAAGAGAAAATGAAATTAAGGCTTCCTGCTAAGCATCAGAGAGTGAACAACCATAGAAGGACGAGGCATTCAATGATTGAAATTAGTGCGACCATTATTTCAACGATTAAAATATTTAATTACAGAGGCATGATTGTTTGCCCCTTTAATTTTTATTTTTAAAAATAATTTATATTAAAGGTGTGAACGATGGCGCCATTAATTTATTTAAAATAATTTATATTTTACAATTTTTAATTAATTTTATAGTAAAAGTGCGGTTGTTTGCACTTTTATTTTTTATTTTGAAAATAATTTATAATAGAAGTGCGGACAACACCTCTATTTTTATTTATAATAATTTATAATTTAGAGTTTTTAAATTAATTTTATAGTAAAGGCGCAGTTGTTTGTGCCTTTATTTTTTATTTTAAAAATAAATTACAGTAGAGCTGCAAACAACCACGCTAGAGGCGTGACTCTTTGTGCCTTTATTTCTTATTTTTAAAATAATTTATATTAGAGGCGCGAATGACTGCGCCTCTATTTTCATTAAAATAATTTATAACTTACGATTTTTAAATTAATTTTATAGTTAAGGCACATTTTTTTGCACTTTACTTTTTATTTTAAAAATAATTTATAGTAGAGGCGCGCCTCTATTTTTATTTAAAATAATTTATAATTTACGATTTTTAAATTAGTTTTATAATAAAGGCGTGGTTACTCGCGGCTTTATTTTTATTTTAAAAATAATTTATTATAGAGGTGTCGTGCCTTTATTTTTATTTTAAAAATAATTTATACTAGAGGCACCGCATCTCTATTTTTATTTTAAATAATAATAATATTTTTATAAAATATAAATTATTTTTTTATATAAAAAATAATAAGTCGCAAAATTCTGCGCCAAATTTTTTTTTGTTATTATGTTGATACAGATTTTGATTACTATATGTTCAGTGCCTCATTATTCGTGTTATTTGTTTCTTTTTCGGATAGTAGGTATAAAAAGGCCAAGGAGACAATTCATCAAAGATAACATCACACACAACTAAAAATAATTCTGCGCCAAATTCTTTTTAATTATTATTTTGGTACGGATTTCGATTACTATGTGTTCCACGCCAGGCCGTGCCTCATTATTCGTGCCATTTGCCTCTTTTTCGGATAATGGGTATAAAAAGACCAAGGAGACAATTCATCACAGATAACATGAAACAACCAAAAATCCTGCATTTTTTTGTATTTTTTTACTTTTTTTTTTTTTGTTTTTTCTTATTCTATGGAAGTTGAACCCGAACTCTATTCACATTAAGATATTATTTATACCTTGTTTTTGTTGATTCCGCTTGTACTTTCCTGCACTTTTATACATTTTATGTAATTTTTACTTTAGAAATTGAAGTTAAGTCCATTGGTGTGATTTTCCTTGGTGAATTTTCATTTCATTTCATTTTCTCATCCAATCATTAGATACAAAATATTCTATTCTAAGGGTTTTCTGGAGTACATTAGGAAACCAATTTTCAGACTACCAATAAGTATCCGAATTTATACAATCAAAATCATTCTTTAATGAATCTTGAATCAATTATTCATAGGAATTGATTCAAGATATCAACTGCTTCGTAGTTGATGAATTGGTTGATATCTTCAGCAGCTGTTTCTTCCTCTTCCTCTTCCGTGCCCCTGCCAGCTCTTCTGGTGCCAAATAATTAGATGGCTTCGGCTTCAAGAGCAGCCGAGCAGCACTACTCCCATGGCTTCGTTGTTGGCTGTCTTCATAGAAGGCCAATCCTGGCTATGGAAGCAACTGCCTACCGTTTGCTGCACGACCATTTTTAGCATATTCAATTCTTGAATAAATAATGTTGGAATCTGGGGTGGCGGCTACAGTGCTGAATGTGCTGAACAACACATTGTGTGCTATTAAATAACACATAATATTACTACAAACAATACACTGTATATGTTAATATAATATAAATATAACACATGAACAAAACAAATATGCTAATAGTTTTCACAGCATACAATATTAATACAGACAACACAAAATATTACTACAGACAACACATTGTATATGTTAATATAACACAAATATAACACATGAACTAACAACACATGCTATAGTCTCATACAGCACACGCAACAGTTGATTTTAGTACATGACATACTTGTATATAACACACTTCTTATTATTAAAAAACAACACACTTATATATATAACGCGTGCTGATGTGAAAAATCAGCATAATACTGATTTTTTTCAAATCAGCACTGTAACCATCCCCGAACGAGGTTATGGAGGGCATCTCCTTCACGGTGGAGAGCTTTGTTCCGCTCTTTGATAGCCTCCACTTGTGCCCACATCTCTCTTATACATTTCTGCAAATTATATTGTTTCATCCGCCCATTCGTTAGTTCCACAGATATACAACATGAGTTCTTCAAGTAGGGGCTAGGGTTATATAATTAATTGGTGTATATATATATATATATATATAATGACCTGTAATTGGTCGGCAGAGTTATTCAAGTACTCCAAATAGCTGAATTGCTTCTGGCCGGCCCTCTGAGCTGAAAGCCTGTTGGATAACATCCTGCAAACAAACAATCAATATAGTGAGAGAGAGAGAGAGAGAGAGAGAGAGAGAGAGAGAGGGAGGGAGGGGGAGAGAGAGATGCACCTCCGAAGCTTCCTGTGCTTCAGTTCATTCTCTATGGATTTATCTAGAACAAGACTCGACTGATGCCTCTGGGTCATGAAATCCACCACCAGCGGCAACGGGGCTTTTTCCTTTGCCTGAGAATCGGCCATCACCTGCAGCTTTCTCTTCAAGTTCCCATTCCATGGCCCCGCCATGTCCAAACCTCGCACACTAACTTCAGAGTCCGTCTTCTTCATCCATACCATCACCATTTTCTTTGTCTGCAGACACACACAGAACAAAGAACGAAGAGCGATACCACAACATCAAACCACAAAGCACAACTGACATCAATAAATATAAATTGAAACCCTAAAACAATAGAAAACCCTCACTTAAACATCTTTTCACACTACAGAGAAAGCACACACAAACCCTACCAACAGTTCATTAACTCAGATTAACACTGCTGCGGAAAAAAGGAACGGACTGAACGAGGAAGGCGCAACAATTTCTATGGCAGGGAATATATATATATATAGAGAGAGAGAGAGAGCAGGATTAATGTGGGGCTGCTGTCAGTCCCCATATTTGTCTCCATCCTTACGGCAGTTCAAATTTTAAATTTTAGAATTTTTACGAACCACACAACCACCACGTCGACGGGATCTGGATGCCTATATATATATATATATGTCCTTTGTTATAAAATAAATACACAAAAAAATCATTTTCTACCTCTCTCCCAATTCTTTATATCTTTCTCTGGCATTCATTGCATACTAATATATATATTATATAAATATAATAATTACTTATATATATATACATATACACATTTATCAATATATTATTATTATATAACACGTTATCAGCACGAGGCTCTTGCCTATTTTATTTTTGGTAAGTTTTATTTTTATACTATCTATATTACTTTATTTTTTAAACTATGAAAAATCTTGCAAAATTTTCTTTTAAACCTCTATCTCTCGCCGGCAACAATTTTCTGACTTGATCCCTGGATGTAGAAATGCATCTGGTTTCAATGGGCCTTGTTCATACAATTGCCAGTGAAAATACGGCTACAAGTCAAGATCGGGCTAAGGCTATTATTTTCATCCGTCATCATTTTGACATTCCTCTACAGTCCGAATACGGTGAAAGATCCCCTTGATTTGTGGAATGAATTGAGGGAGAGATTTGGGCATTTGAAATATATCACTCTCCCCAAAGCCCGACATGATTGGCTTAACCTGCGATTGCAGGATTTTAAAACTGTTACAGAGTATAACTCTGCTATCCATCAGATTACATCTCAGTTGAAACTCTGCGGAGAAAATGTTACTGAGAATGATAAATTGGAGAAGACTCTCTCTACCTTTCATGCTTCTAATGTTGTGCTGCAACAGCAGTATCGCGAGAAAAATTTTCAAAAGTACTCACAGCTCATTGCATGCATTTTATTAGTTGACAAAATAATGAGTTACTGATGAAAAATCATCAGTCCCGGCCCACTGGTTCCAGTCCGTTCCCTGAAGCGAACGTGACATTTTCTGAACGGGGCCGAGGACATGGTAGAGGCCGTGGACGTGGTCGCGGTCGTGAAAGTCAACGCAGTCGATATACCCCTTACAATCGCCGCAGTTTTGACATTAACAGGATGCAGAGTAAACCCCAACATGGGGATATAGCCGAAAAGGCTAAATAGGGAAAGAGGCAAATTGGCAGTTGTAATCGGTGTGGCATTGAAGGCCATTGGGTCAATACCTGCAGAACAGCCAAACACCTAGCCGATCTTTATCAAGCCTCATTGCAGAAAAAGGGGAAGGAGGTCGAGACTAATCACGTTGATAACGATGACGACCCCGATGATGATCTTTTGGATTACGACACAACGCATCTTGATATAGCGGATTTTTTCGTAGATCCAGCAAACCCCTAGTGATAGACATATTATGTCATTTTACATTATGTTTTATAATATTTAAATTATCGCATATTACCTTTTTGTAATGTATTTTGTAATACTTATATCTGCCTTTATTAATACTGCGTTATTTATATTTGAAGGTTAAATGGATGTCAATCAAAATGATGCAAATATGTGTTTCATTGACAGTGCAACGACACATACTATATTGAAACACGAAAAATATTTCTCCCGTTTGAAAAGGGAAAGAATGAATGTAAATACAATAAGTGGCAGTGCAAAATTAATTGAAGGCTCTGGAGAAGCCATTATATTTCTCCCTGCGGGGACGAAAATTGTGATACAGTATACACTGTTGGCCACTAAAGCTCGAAGAAATCTACTGAGCTTTCATGACATTCGAAAAAATGGTTATCACATTGAAACTATGAGTGATACCGATGGTGAATTTTTATTTATCACCAATATCATTGATAAAAGGAAATGCATCATCAAGAGATTACCCTCACTCTCTACTGACTTATATTATGCCAGATTAGGTGTTGTTGAAACACACCTCACGGTAGATCAAAAGACTACCGATTTTCAAATATGGCATGATCGCCTTGGGCATCCTGGCAGTATAATGATGAGGCGAATAATTGAGAATTCGCATGGCCATTCATTAAAAGATCAAAAAGTGTTTATGAGTTAACATGTGTTGCCTACACTCAGGGAAAATTGATAACCAGACCATTGCCAGCTAAAGTAGGTATTGAATCACCTACATTTTTGGAAAGAATACACAGGGATATATATGGACCAATAAACCCACCGTGTGGGCCATTTAAATATTTTATGGTGCTTATTGATGCATCTACCAGATGGTCACATGTATGTTTATTATCTACTCGCAATATGTCATTCGCGAGATTGCTTGCCCAAATTATTAAATTACGGGCACAATTCCCTGATAATCCAATTAAGACTATACGTCTGGATAATGCTGGTGAATATACATCGAATGCATTTGATGATTATTGCATGTCGATTGGAATTAATGTAGAGCACCCAGTTGCTCATGTTCATACACAAAATGGCCTGGCAGAATCACTTATTAAAAGATTGCAGTTAATTTCTACACCATTACTGATGAGGTCTATGTTGCCCGTTTCAGCTTGGGGGCATGCAATCTTACATGCAGGAACACTTATAAGAATGAGGCCGACAAGCTATCATAGCTATTCCCCAATGCAGTTAGTATTTGGTCACGAACCAAATATATCTCATATACGTATTTTTGGGTGTGCTGTTTATGTTCCTATTCCACCCCCCAAACGTACAAAAATGGGTCCTCAACGTAGATTGGACATTTATGTCGGATATGAATCGCCGTCAATTATAAAATATCTTGAGCCTATGACGGGTGATTTATTCACTGCAAGATTTGCAAATTGTCATTTTGACGAATCATATTTTCCGACATTAGGGGGAGACAAAAACGAACCGAAAAGGAATATTAATTGGAAAATCCCATTGAATTTTTGTGACCCTCGTACAAAGCAGTGTGAACTAGAAGTTTAACGCATTATACATTTGCAAAATATTGCAAATCAGTTACCGGATACATTCAATGACTCGAGCAAAGTCACTCGATCATATATCCAAGCTGCTAATGCTCCGGCTAAAATAATTATCCCTGATGGACAAATTACAAGTGCTAATGAATCAGCGACACGCTTAAAACGTGGTAGACCACTCGGTTCCAAAGACAAACATCCTCGAAAGAAAAGAGGAATTAATGATGATAATCATGAAAATATCAGGAATGACATTGATAAATCTCAATCTAACGAGGAAGTCAACCCTGAAATAATTGCTCAAGAAGAGCACGATCTTGAAGAACATGATGAGATTATTGAAAACTCAATTAACTATGTTACTTTAAGAAAATGTTGGAACCGTAAAGAGGCAGTTATTGATAATGCCTTCGCATACAATTTAGCACTTGATATAATGGAAGAAAACGAGGATCCAGAGCCAAAATCGGTTCATGAATGTCGGCAAAGAAATGACTGGCCAAAATGGGAAAATGCGATTCAATCAGGGCTTGACTCATTAAACAAAAGGGAGGTCTTCGGACCAATTGTTCAAACACCAGACGATATAAAACCAGTTGGATACAAATGGGTGTTTGTACGAAAAAGAAACGAGCATAATGAAATTGTGAGATATAAAGCCCATCTTGTAGCTCAGGGATTCTCACAAAGGCCTGGAGTAGATTTTGATGAAACGTACTCTCCAGTTGTTGATGGAATAACATTTAGATACCTTGTGTGCCTAGCAGTGCGAGAAAAACTCGATATGCGTCTTTTAGACGTAGTCACTGCATATCTTTATGGCTCCTTGGATACTGATATTTATATGAAAGTTCCTGAGGGATTCAACATGCCCGAAGCATACAAATTAAACCCAAGAGAATCATATTCCATCAAATTGAAAAAGTCATTGTATGGACTTAAACAATCGGGGCGAATGTGGTATAACCGTCTGAGCGAATGTTTAATAAAAGAAGGTTATACTAATGATCTAATATGCCCATGCGTCTTTATAAAGAAAAATGGATCAAATTTTGTCATTATTGCAATATATGTTGATGGTCTCAATTTAATTGGAACTCCTGAAGAGATCCAAATTGCAGTTGAATATGTAAAGAAAGAATTTGAGATCAAAGATTTTGGAAAGACAAAATATTGTCTGGGATTACAAGTGGATCATGTGAACAACGGAATATTTATCCATCAATCAACATATACCCAAAAGGTATTAAAACAATTTTACATGGATAAATCTCACTCTCTGAGTACACCAATGGTGGTCAGATCCCTTGATCCCAATAAAGATCCATTTAGGCCAAGAAAAGAAAATGAAGAAATACTTGGCCCCGAGGTACCATATCTCAGCGCTATTAGTGCATTAATGTACCTTGCAAATTGTACCAGGCCAGACATATATTTTTCAGTAAATTTACTGGCCAGGTTTAGTGCATCCCCCACAAAGCGCCATTGGAATGGAATCAAACACATTTTCCGTTATCTTCAGGGGACTCATGACCTCGGATTATTTTATTCGAGTGAATCTCGAAATGAATTAATTGGTTATGCTGACGCTGGTTATCTGTCTGATCCACATAAAGCAAAATCTCAAACTGGCTATTTATTTACTTGTGGCGGAACCGCAATCTCTTAGAGATCTGCTAAACAGACGATAACAGCTACTTCTTCAAACCATGCTGAGGTTTTAGCAATTCACGAAGCCAGTCGTGAATGCGTTTGGTTGAGGTCTATGACTCACCATATTCAGAAAAATTGTGGCTTAATTACCGATGATATATTACCTCCTACAATATTATTTGAAGATAATGCAGCTTGTATAGCTCAATTAAATGGAGGATATATTAAAGGCGATCGGACAAAGCACATATCTCCGAAATTCTTCTTCACTCATGATCTTCAGAAAAATGGTGAAATTAGTGTGCAAAAAATTCGATCGTCTGAAAATTTTGCAGATTTATTTACGAAGGCGCTACCGACTGCAACATTCAACAAACTGGTGCAAGGAATTGGAATGCGTCGAATGAAATACGTCAAATAGAGTCCAAAA